AACCCCCAGGTAACTGCTAGGCAGACCCAGCAAGCTGTGGAGATGCTAATCAGGCCCTCCCACCGCCAGGGTGAATTCAGGAGCTTCCAGCAACCCAGTGCTTTTGGAGAGAAGGAAGAGGAAACCAAAGGGGTGGGGGGGGGGCGGCAGGGAGGCGGCGTATCTACGCCTGCACTTCAGCAAATGTTTTCACTGCCATCAGCATCGCCAAAGCCGCTGATTGGAGAAAAAGGGGTACCACTGGGATCAGTAGCTTGGCCTCGTGGGTGCAGCGGCTGGGGCAATGCCAGGCAGGAGTTCGAATCCTGAGCGCCACCCAACTCACACGGAGGAGCCATGACCAGGTCCCAGAGGCCGGACTTCCCCAAAAAGGCCAGGAGGAGAGGCTCACCCAAATGTGTCTGGTGGGGAGACATTCTCAAGTCACCCCTGGGGCACCTGGCTGAACCCAGGCCCTGAGGAGGAGGAGGTGGCACCACAGCCGCAACTTCATAAGCAAATCAATAGGGTGGAATGCACAGAATCCCTGGGGCACCCTCCCCCCATGCCCTTCCTTGTATTATTCTGACTATGGTTGTTTTAAAAATTTTCCGTAAAAAAGGAGAAATGCACAGAAAGCACTTGTTTGGTTTCATTTTGCCTTCACAGTTTTAGTGACTCCATTTGTGGAAACTGTTTAGGAAGCTGGTGAGAAGGCGGAGGAGTCCAGGAGAAGCCCAGCTCTGGCTTCAGCTGCCCCTGGCTCCTCTCTCCCCCTGGGGGCCAGCAGCCCAGACAACGCCTTCTCTCTGCTCTTCAGCTCCTCAGCCACAGCCCCAAGCCGCTAAGTCCCAAGTGCTGTCCTATGACCTGTTCTCCCCCTTTTTCTACAGGCCTTGGTGGGTTCTAAGTTGTCTCCTTTCCACGCAAGCCTACCTCTGCGGTTCAAAAGATCACTGGGTGAGCCGGCAGTTACAGACTGCTGTTGCCAGCAGACGCTGGGGGAGGCCATTCAAAATCACTACCCTTGTTCTCTAAGCACTTGGAATCGAAGGAGCCCTGCTCCTCCAGCCTCAAATCAAAATCTGGCAGCCCACACCACCCCCAAAGTCTTAGGCAGCACACACACTCCTCGGAAGACATTAGTGGGGAAGGGAAGGGAGGTGGAGACAGACCTCTTCTTTCCTGATGGCCAGAAATAGGGTCATTCATCTATCTTCAGTGCAGGAGAAACCCAACAATGAAGTAGATGGGGAGGAGCTGGCCCTCGAAGCTTCAAAGTAAAAAGCAAATATTATATATATTCTGACCCAACTACACGTCTGAGCGTAGAACTCTGAAATGGTAGCGATTTGCCCTGCAGGCTAAGGGAGCTTGGCTTATGATTTATCCCAGCTGGGGAAACCTGGGACAATTACTGAGAAGCTCAAGGCTGGGGATCAGGGTTGGGGCTGCCTTTGGGCATTTACCCATTCTCAGGACCTGACCTCTAACCTTTGGTCCTGCCATGTCATCCACCTCTCCTGGTTCCATGGTCCCAATATCTTCCACCCATCCTGTTACATGTCCTAGTCAAACCTGATACCAAACCAACCTTATCTTTAGCTTCCTGCCTTAGGCGGTGCCTTGATTTCAGATTCTCAATCATAGACCCAAGGTGGCCAGTCTGCAGCCCTACGGGAACTAAGGAGTCAGGATTAGACTGAAGTCTGCCAGGCCTAAGTTCAAGTCCCAGCTCTTCCCTCAGTTCCCTTTTTTCTGCTGTTGTCAAAGATTTATTTATGCACACAAGAAGTGGGGTACAGGCCAGGGTAGTGGGGAGGGAAGGGGAGTTAGAGGATTCACTAGAGACAGAGTGGGGAGAGGAACAGGCGGACTGACTGAAATACACTGCTGAGGGGAGCAGCAGTGAGAGAGGGGAGGGCTGCTGTGCCAGGTGGGTCAGCTCCCTGGCTGGGGATGGAGCTCCTGCTGCAGTGGCTGCTGATAGCTTCATAGCTACGAATTAACCCCTTGCGCCACCAGGGAGGCCCTCAGTCCCAATGTAACCTCAGGCAAGCCAGGGCCTGTCCCAAAGCTCTAGAGGTTAAATAAGTGGGTAGGAGAAGAGGGGAATGTTTCTGTCCTACAGAATTCCCAGTTTGGGGAGTGGGGAGACAAGGGAGGAGAGAAAATGACATTCAAAATTCCTTTCCTTCCCTGAAGTGGTACTTTTACTTTAATGAGAAAACTCATTAAGCCACTCTTGAGTTTCCATTTGTTTAAGTGAAATGGGTGTTTGCTATAGTGTAAAGGGAGACGAGGCTGGGTCACCTCAACACCCCCCACCCCACCCACCCACACACAAGACAGAGACACTAAGAAAACTCCGACTCTAATTGCACCTTAAAAAGAAGTGTTATCATGACACCTTGATTCCTTCTCAACAATCCCAGCCAGAGGCCAAGGAAAGAAAGGCTCATTAAAAGCTCCAGGAAAGGCTGAGGGGAGGAGTAGGTGGAGATTCCCAAGCTTTTGAAGTGGCCTGCCTTGGTCCATCACTTGCTGACATCTCTTTCTAAGGTCTGGGGTTTTATGTTCTGGGTTTGATTTCTCCACCATCAAACTTTATGGTTAAAAGAACCCTTGGCACAGTAAATGGAACTCATTCCTATTTCACTGTGGACAAGGGTGGGGGAGGACAGAGAGGAGCCTGCCACGGAGGGGAACTTGTGCATTCCCAGAAATAGCCCTCCTGGGTAAAGACAGCCTCCTCGGCTCCACTTGATATGACAAAGAGGTGGATGGAGTCACAAGGAAGAGTCCAGTGTGGCCTGAATCGACTTGGCTGTTGGACATGAGCCCTGCATACAAGTCTATGATCTGAGGTCAAGAGAAGGCAAGATTTGAAGAGAGGCCAACCCTCAGGCCTTGATTTTCCCAGTAATGAGGGATCCACTGGGAAGACCCGCAGAACATTCTGAAATATGCTCTGTGCCTTGGCGTTAGAGAAAAAGGCTGTGTAGGAGGAAGGGGCATGTTCTCCCTCCTGAAGGCAGTTTCTAAGGGCCGCGCATTCTGGGCAAAGGGAAGGCTGCAGGCAGACCCCACCAGTTGGCCCCTCTCCAGGCTGGTGGGCAGGCAGCTCCTGCTGCGCTAAGTAATGAGCACAATTCCAACACGGGTTCTGCTCGCTAGTGAGAAATCAAAGCCCAGTATTAGAGGCCATTTCTGGCTGGGCACTGTTCATGCCCAAATCCATCAAAGTCCTGGGCCTGGGGCTTCTTCTGGGAAGGTGGGGGCTGGATGCTTTGTTAAGCAGGAACTGCAGACCACCCCCAGCCTCAATGGCTGAGCCCACTTTCAAGCTCCAGAAAACTTGAGGCCAACTAGGCTGGTCCTTCTGCCTACCCAAGCCACCACCCCCAACATCCTCAGTATTTATTTGTGATCCCACTGACTTGCTGGTACAAAAAACAGCTTCCCAAGATGCCACCCTGTCCATATGCCATTCACTGAGACTTCACCCTACCCTTCACCCCCCCCCCAAAAACACCCTCAAACCAGAAACCAGCACTCCAGCACAGCACCTCCCACATCCAATTGCATTCTGTAAAACAAGGTTGGTCATTCAGCAGTCTGCCCCCTCTCCCATCATTACCTTCCAACTTCAAAACACGTCTTTAAATACCAGAGTCTGCCCAAATCATAATTAACTTGGATCAAATGATTGAGTGTCGTAACTTTACAACACAGGGCTAGAAAAAAAACTGGGGGATGTGCTAAAACCAATCCCTCACTCCCTGGTCGTGGGAATCATTAATTCCAGAAAGAGGAGTCTGGTTATGGGGGGTGGGGGGTGGGGGGTGGGGAAGGGGGAGCGGATGTCTACAGTGCAGGGGCAGATGGAAGGGGGAGGCATGCGTCACCTTATCCACTTTCTGCACCGGTCTTCCTGCCCCATTCGCAGCCTCAACTCGGAAAGCTCACGCGCGGCAGGGTGACCCCACCCCTACCCTGCGCGGGGAGCCTGGACCAGCGGCGGGGCCAGCCCACCTGCCGGTTCCGCGGGACTCTCGCCTCCAGGGTGAGCGCCTCATCCCAGGGAAGGCGCAGCCCAGTCAGCAACGACCCGCCCAGCTGCGGACAAGACGCGCGCACATCCACGCCGGAGGGCAGTGGGTGCCGGTGGTGCTGGCGGTGGGTGTGTAGGGAAATTATTTTAAGGGCCCACCTTACGGCATCTCGCTGGGTCCAGAGTGGGAGGGTACAGGGGCGAGCGCGCTTGGTCTGCTTCCAGGACGGGGGAAATGTCAGTGACCCATTTAAAAGAAAACTCGGCAGGATCACTAGGTACTTCATTCCCCTTCCCCCCTCCCCACCGCCCCCCCCCCCAAACAAAGACCGCAGGTTACACGATTTCGGGTAAAGCGGTGTGAGCAGGATCTAGTCCTCCCGCCTACACCGGCCGAAGCCCTCCAACCCTCCCCCGCCAGGCAGAGCGCACCCCGCGCACCCCGCGCACCCCGCGCTCGGGTCTCTCCCTCCCTGCGGTCCGCGGATTCCGGTCGGTGCAGCGCGCTAGAGCCCGGGCGAGCCGGGCCGGGGCTCGGAAGTTGCCGGCGAAAGGCAGCGAGCGCACACCTGGGCCGAGAAGCGACAGTTTGTTGTTGCTGTTGCCGTTTCCTTTCGGAGTCGCAGCCAGGCGCGCGACGAGCCAGGGCCCACGGGGGCGCACCCCCTGGAAGCCTAGCCCCCGGCCCGGACACCCGCTCCAAGGAGCAGCCCCCGCCTCTCCCGGGGGCGCAGGACGCTCGCGGCTGGCTCAGAACACACCCCGTCAGACACCCCCGGTGACAGACCCCGAGCGCGGCCGCGCCATCGCCCCGCGGTGGGGCACAGCGATCTACCTTCTAACTTGGGCACCCCGGCCGCTTTCTCCACGCGCGCCGACGGGCGACCGGCCGCAGCCACTCCGGGCCAGAGTGAGGCGCCAGGGGACCTACCCTCACCCCGCGCCCCCATGCCGGCGCGCTCCTTACCTGCGTGGCTCAGCGTCGGGTCCCAGCAGAGCAGCAGCGCCAGCAGCAGCGCACCCCGCGCTCCGCTCCGCGCCCACATGCTCCCGCGGCCCGGCTCGGGCGCCTCTCCCCCGGGGAGCTCTCCCTGGCCCCAGCCTCGCCGCCGCCGTCTCCGTCTCCGCCGCTTCCTCCTCGCCGTCTTCCCGGGCGCCCGGTCGCGCCAGCCCGTGCCCTCCGTTGGGGCAGAGGCAGCCACGCTGCGCGGAGGGCGGCCGTGCGCTCGGGGCGCTCCCCAGCCGGGCGCCGGCGCGCCCCTCGCTGCGCTCCCCGGGCAGCCGGGCTCCGAGCGCGCCCCGGGCACCAGCGCCCCGGCTCCGAAGTTGCGCGACCCCAGGTGAGTGCACTTGAGGGGCGTCCACAGCAGCCGCGCCGCGCCGTCCGAGCCCCGGAGCGTGCCTCTGCGCCCCGCCGCTGCCCGCGGCCCCGGGGTCCTCGCCGGTCCCCGCCGCCAGCCACAATGCCGCGCGCCGCGGCTCGCCCGCCCGAGCGAGTCCGCGAGCTGAAGGGAACCGCGCGCGGCCTGGGCGGGGCCTGGGTGGGCGGGGGCGGAGCCGCCTGGGGAACCCCGAGGGGAGAACCGACAGCCACCCAGGCGCGGCCTCTGTAGGGCCGGGGACCCGGCAGGGGGGGCCTCGCGAGACGCGGGGCCCAGCGCGTTGGAAAGCCCGGTCCCTGGATTGCAGCTGGAAGCGGAGTCGCCCCGATTTTCCTTTCCAAAAACTAAGGAAGGGTAACTTTGCTCTCTGCTTTGGCGTGACGGTGGCATTTATCTCCTCTGATTAAGCTCAGGAATTCCACTTTTGGCTTTCTGGAGTGTATGCACTCTAGGCCTTCCAGTTATCGGGGTCTTTTGAAAACAAACGAATAATTAAATAAAGGCTCCCTAAATGAGAAAGTCTCAAAAATTGAAGTTCTGGTTAAGCTGGGACTTACAGCTATGTGAACTTGGGTGTAGGCTTGGATCTTCTTGATTGGCCTTATTTGTCTGTAAGATCTGGGACAAAACTTTACCAGACGCCTCTGTACCCCCATAGCACTTCAGGTCCTAAGGTGTTAAAAACCTGACCACCAGAAACCTTGGGGTAGAAGGGAGAGGGCAACCATTTTTGGCTCGATGTGAACTTGGGCTCTGCCCCTTACCTGCTGTGTGACCTTGAACAAGTTACCTAACCATTGTGATGTTCCCTTCATCATCATCTGTAAATTGAAGAATAACAATAATAACTATCACATAAGGGGATATAAAATCGAATGGAGAAAAATGTATGAAAACTGCAACAGCCATCTCTTTTCCCAAGATTTCCTCTCACAGTCAGTCTGATTCCTGCAGGAAAGTCTCGGGCACCCCAGGGTGGGCCGAAGGGCATGTGGGACCATGTGGGGTTTGGGGATGGATGATGTCTTGAGATGGAAACCCAGTGCCGTCAGAAAGGTTGGACCAGCTGACAGCAACAGAGATCTTCTGTGTGCCAGGAGCAAGGTTTAATGTTTTATATGCACCCCATCAGGTAATCCTCACAACTCTGAGGTAAGTGCCATCTGTAACCCCAGGTTATAGATGAGCGGAAACAACAGAGATATAGTCATTTGCCCCAGACGGTACAGATATGAGTAAATGTGCGTGTGAAAGAAAGGGGCTGGGGAGATGGGATTGGAAAGAAACTCTCTGAACCGGGGCGCCTACACCCCTGCGCCCCTCTGGAGCTGGACAGAGCTGGGAGAACAGGCTGGCAACCAGAAAGGATGTCCCTTTGCCTACGCCTAATCTGTTCACTACTTGGAATTTTTCCAGAGCTGGGGTTTAGGCTCACTCCTCAAATATAGCCGCAGTGGGCTGCCTGAGGAAAGGTGAAGGGAGTCAGAGAGAGGTCCTGCCAGGCCCAGGATCTAGTAGTGGATGTGCTACAATAGGGCCTAGTGTCTACAGGGCCACATCCTGAACTGGAGGAGAAAAAGTACTTGGGGGCCATACCTGTATTCTGGAAAGGAGCTTGGGGGGGCAGAGTGGCCTTCTCCAGCTGTCTCCCAGTACCCTCTCCACACAATCCCGCCCACAGAACAAGGTCTGGAGCATCTGAGAGAGGGTACATGCGGGTACTGGCCCTCTCCAGCCCCCTGGCTGGCTCCCAGGATCAGAAGGTGGATATGAGTGGGACTCCCTGGGGAACACTTTGTCCAATTAAAAAAGGTCCCTGTGGGCAAAAGTAGGTGGGTTATTTTTAGTTTGACCCAGGAAAGCCCAAGCACCCCTGGCCAGTTCCACCCATCCACATAACTGTCAGTGCACGAACACACACACACACACACACACACACACGTGCGCGCACGCACGCACAGTGACAAGCACACATCATTAATACACACCTATCAAGATATATACAAGTGAACATATAATAAAGACTCACAGGTGCAAGATGACCCCCCCAGAAAGCACACACATACTCTGTCACAGTCACAAGCATAGGTACACACATCCAAAAGCACAAATGCACTCTTAGTCAGGTGATGCTGAAGACAAACATATTTAGGTCTTAACTACCGCCAGGAAACACATACAGGGACCCACATCTGACTATCAGCTGGACACAGGCACTTGATCAAGGACTCGGTGATGGATTGCGCAGTATCAACCTCAGCAGTGACACAACATGCAGAGACCCCCATAGGGCTCACTCTCACCCTCAAGGCCAGTGAAATATTAGATTTTTCAAAAGGTCCTATCTTCAGGACTTTGCTCTTCCCACAGTAGCAGTCCCAGTCAGGTTCTTCTAGCGCCCAGTGTCAAGTTTCATGACTTTGTATAATTCCTGGAGAAATGGGGGGTGGGTGGGATGTGGAAGCAAAAAGAGAAAGGCCTTTTCCCCTATCCTGCTATTCCTGTCTCACTCCCACACCCCCAGCCTTAACTCTATTTGAACTCTAGAAATTTGCCCATGGGAGGTCTCTGGCCCTGCCTTTCCTCCAGGACTTACCACAGTTCCTCCAGGACTTCCTCCAGGACTTAAGGGTGGCCTTACCACATGGGGTAGCCCTCCATAACTCCCTTGTACCCCCTCTCGTGCCTGTCAAATGTCTGAAAGAATACCCCTTCCCAGCCACCTGCCGCTAAGCCACCTATGGCCGTGTAGTTGCTTCCCAGTCCCAGCATTCTCTGAGGGCCCCTCTAGGCTGGGCTAGGAAAAGAGCTTCAGAGGCAATCAGTTTCCCTGAGCTCACCCCTTTCCCCAGGATGGGTGAAGATGGACAAGACCAAGCCCACGGGATGGCGGCGGTGGTGGGGGTCGGGAGGGGGGTTGCAGTAGTTGGATTAAGATTTGCTAGGGGGTTCCCAAACCCGGTGTCATCAGACTCAGCGCCAAGGGGTCCTGCTATCAGTTAAGAAAGGAGACACAGGCAATGAGCTGCTTGGAGGCAGCCCTCTCCCCTTTCCTGTTTTTCCTGTTTACCATTATGTATCCAGCACCTAAGTCTCTATCCTGCACATAGTAGGCACATGTCTGTATTGGCTAAGTGGGTCCATCAATGAGGCTGTGGGAGTGAGGGGTTGTTGGTCAAAGGTTTATAGCCTTGCCAAGTGGGCCCAGACAGGGTCCTCTCACCTGCCCTCTGTTTCCTGGATTCCTGGAGGGGCCTTGAGGCTAGAGGTGGGGCCGCCTTTGTGCAATATAGCTGCTTTGCAATCAGGTCCTCCAGAACCATTTCAGACCCTGAGCAGGGGTTACATGTGCTTTTATGGGCTACCTTCATTCCTCCCAAACTAGAAGAGTGTGTCAGAGACAGAGCTCTGGATGGCTAGGCCTGGGGATGCCCTTACCGGCTGGGGACCTTGAGCTGGCTGCGGAGTCTTTCCAAGTATCCATTTCCTCACTTGTAAAGTGCAAACAATAACTGCCTCATAGCATTAAAAGGAATATACACAAAGTCCCTAACCTGGCTGAATACAAGCAATCTTTTTTATAAGAAGGATGATTTCAAAGCAGCTGTAGGGCTCCTGGCCGGAATGGTAGCAGGTTGCAGGAGTGGTTGGCGGCATTGGGCTGGCGCCTGCCTCGGAGGCGAACACGAGTGTGCCGGCAGGTGCCACTAGGCGGCGCGCTGCAGCGCACGCCTCCTCCTGGCCGCTTCTACCTCCATCCTAAAATCAGGAAGGGAGCACGCCCCTGGTTTCCATGACACCTGCCCAAGGGGCAGCTCTAGCTCGCTGGATTGTTAGGGAAGGGGGTTCTTGGGGCATCAGGTTTGCAGGATAAGAAGATTTGGATGGGAAAGAACACAATCCCTCTGACCACCGGTTTAGAAAGGACCTCAAAACTCTGGACCCTGGGAAGGGAGCTCCCTAAGGTGAAATCCTTTAAGCTCCGCCATCTCTTTGTAATAATATTATGGTGTCAAATGTTGGGCTTGCTATGTAAGCACAATTACTACCCCATTTAACGGATGAAGGAACTGAGGCGCAGAAAGGTGATGTGCCCAAGGGCACAAAGTGGCCAGTGCAATGACTGTGCAATGAGATTCAACACAATATTCAAACACAATATTCAAGCACAATATTTATACTATTGTAGTGCCAGGATGGGGCAGAGCAGGTTCTCTAAGATCCCATGCAGACGGGGTAAGGTGGAGTCCTGGAGCCCTCGGTGGCTTTCTCAGGCTTTTATTGAGCTTTTACATGTAGTGTAGCAACCAGGTACACAGCAGGCAGGGGTGCTGGGGGTGCCAGGAGGCTGGCAGGCCTCCAAGCCCCCAGCAAGTCTTCACTCTGGGCTTCTCTGGCATTCTTTCTCCCCTTCTCTCTCTTCTCTTCGGCCTCTGCTTCTCTATCTCAATACTGAGCCATGGCCCGCAGAAGTAAACAATGCAACTTATAACAATATAACAAATGCAGGTGCCCCATCAGGCAGGGCACTCCTGATGGCAGGAGGGCAGAAAAGCCTGAAAACCATTTACCCTGCACTATCCAGACTCAGGCTTGTACTCTTTTTTTAAAATTGAGATAAAATTCACTTAATAAAATATATCATTTAAAAGTGTACAATTCAATGTATTTTAATATAGGGAGACTCTTGTACAACCATCACACTTATCGGATTCCACAATATTTCATCACCCCCCAAAGAAACCCCATGCCATTCAGCAGTCACTCCACATCCTCCTCTCCTCCCGCCCCTGGCAACCACGAATCTACTTTCTGTCTCTATGGATTTGCCTTTCCTGAGAGTTTTGTGCCCATGGAATCACACACGTGGTCTGGGTCGTCAAGCTTGGGCTCTGAACCTCTGCTAAATACTGTGACACCCTCCTCCCACCCCATCAGATTCCCCCTCTCCCAAGGGAGGGCCTTCTGACTCTGTCGGAAATGAGGGTTCTGGATGCTGACTGTGCTGGACAAAGACCACATGGGAGCTGAGTTGTGGGATCCTCTTTCAGGCTGGGGTTTCCACAGACTCAGGAGGGCAGCTGGGAAGTAGAAAAGCCAGGGAAGTTTG